TACCCCTGACCTGGACGCAGTTCCCACTAGTGGGCTCCCTAATGCCCGGTACTGCAGTAACTCTCCCTCCCGCCTCCATCCCTGGGTGGGGGTAATCCCCAGCCCCTCTCCCCCCGGGCCACCTCTTGCCCTCCCCCTGCCCTGGTCCAGCCCCAGGAAGGGCCCTGGGTGTCCTGGGACTGGAAGGAGCGACAGCTGGGGGTGATGAGTGCAGCATTGTTTTATTGCAGGGAGTCACAGGCAATGAGCGAGGGGGGGCTGCCCCCCCGGGGAGCCGGGACAAGGCTGGGAGCAGAGTTGAGTCCAGGGAGCAGGGGCGCCTCCAGCAGGGCAGAGTGGGGAGTTCCAGGCCAGCAGAGCGGTGGGGGCAGTGGGACCCCATGGGAGGAGCAGCCCCCTCAGTACTCGCAGATAAAGGGCAGGCGAGTCCCGCAGCTGACGCTGCTCCATTGACCACCTGGCAGAGAGAGAGGGGTTAGTGCCCTCCCAGCTGGCACCTGGCACCCAGCCCACAGCAAACCCCAGATCCCTTGCCCCAGACCTCCATAGTACCACTAACCCCAGATCCCCTGCCCCAAACCCCTGCCCCCACCTACCCTCAGATCCCCTGCCCCATGGCCCCACCTACCCTTGGATTCCCTGTCCCACACCCTAAAGCCCCACCTTCCCTACACCCCATGACCCCAACTCCCCTCATATCTCCTGCCCCAGAGCCCCACCTACCCTCGGACCCCTGCCCCACAGATCTGCGGTTCCCCTGCCCAAGGGCTCTTGTTTCCACAAGCAGTGACTAGATCCCCATCTCCGCCCTATCCTACCCCAGGGGGCTCCTCACCTACAGGGCACATGGCGACACACGATTTCCAAAACCGCCAGGGGTTCCCTCTGGCCCAGTTGGAGTAGTTCCAGGCACTGTGGTCAACCCAGCGGGGGTACACATGAAAGAACTGTGGGGAAGGGGCTGGGGTAGGATCAGTGCTGTCCCATCTGCAGGGTGCCCCAGGAAATCCCCTCCCCTCCAGCCCCCAAGGGGCCAGGGCCATCAGTTGGGCTGGGGCAGGAGCCACAGTGAGGGGCTCTGGATTTGCTGGGAAGTACCTGGGACTTGCTGGCACCAGACTCTGCCATGGCACCTCATGGGCAACCCAGGTCAGTGGGCCCCAAGGAGACTGCCAGCCATCTGGGGGTCAGCTGGACCCACACCTGAGCTACCAGGCCCACCTCCTGGGGGCAAGCACGGGGTGGTCTGGGGCAGCCCTGAGCGGGGTCCTGGCTGGGGACACACTGAGCTGAGCT